TTAGCGCCAGTCTCCTTACAATTTAAGACTGGCCGTTGTAACTGGCCAAGTGTAAACCGGGCAATAATTTGTTTGTTTATCTGTGATAGAGTTGCAACAATTCAAATTAAATAAGCAAGAGTGCTTTCTTCGTTCTTGAATTTTTATTCAAACATTTTTATTTGTCAAAAATCTATAAAAAGCCATTCGTTCTGGTTTTCGCATTTACACAAAATCCGGCAACACAAGAGAAAGGAATCCACATCATTTAGTTGTATATTTTTTTTATTTCAATTAACTAAATTGCTACAATAACGTGGGTGTAAAAGTAAACGATTAAAGATGGCGGCCCCACCCACATTCCGTGAAAATGATCGACGCTTGAATTTTCTCAAAAGTAGATAAAAAAAGTATTGTTCTACCCACATTTTGCAGCAGCGATTTAGTTTTAATGCCACAATCGGAGAAGAGATGGATGGATTGCGTGTCGACATGATCAAAAAGATGATGACTGAGAGCCATGTGATAGATTTGGGGGACAAAACGTGGACAAAACAACGTGGATGGCTACAAAGGAAGAGGAAGACCGAAGAAAGTATGGATGGATTGTGTGAAAGAGGATATGCTTAAGAAAGGAGTGGATTCAGATATGTCGGCTGATAGAGATGTATGGAAGAGCACATACTGTGCCGACCCTCCGTAAGGGATAGAGGCAAGTCGATGATGAATTAGATATAGTTAGATTAGAAATAATTGTGATCCATCGTTAAATAAACTTTAAATATTTTATAAAAGCTACACGCGCCAATTTGTTTTAATCTGTGTGCACCGTTTTAAAACCGTCGAAGTTATTTTTAGTATATTCTCTTCAAACGACTGCATTTTACGCTTCACGCTTGAGTTCTTTGATCCTTTAGTTACATATTTAGAGCGCGTGGACATATTTGACTAAACTATTGCACAACTGTTTAGTCTTACTTTGATTTCTGAGCTTATATGGAGGTGCACATTCGATTTGAGTTGTGTGTGTTTATAACAAAAAGCTACGTATCCCTCGGGAACCGGACATTTCTCGGTGACGTACCTTATCCCGTGTGTACTCCAGACTTTGTTTTATATCTGTGCCAAATTTCAATAAGATATGTTAAACCGTTGCGGAACAATCGAGTAAACATTATAAAAACTAAATTAATGAATCCCACGGGACCCGTAACTATTCCCGAGATAAAAAGTAGCCTATGTGTTCTTCCAGACTATGCTCTAAACCTGTGTCAAATTTCATGGAGATCCGTTCAGCCGTTTAGGCTACAAGCGCTAACAAACATCCATCGTAACTTTCGCATTTATAATATTTATTTGTTACAGTTTGTTTATTAATATTTGGTTTTTTCCAGGACATTTCCTGTACCTCCCAGTGGACCCCACTATGGAGAATATGGTGATCAAATCGCCCCCCTTCCGTGGACTTTCCGAGTTCTGTAAAGTAAGAGAATTTGTCTTATGAATATAATTTTAGTTGCAATTGTCTTACACATATATATGCAAGGAAATTCAAATAGTTAGAGGACGCATAGTTGACATTTCACTTGAAATATTTTTGACATAATTAAACCTCCAAAATACATGTCAGTATAATTAATTGTATTTCAAATAATTGCCAATAATTTCATTAAATAACGTTTGAATGTTTATATTTTATTTTGTAACGCTTTAGTTTATTTCATAACAAAAGATGGCGCTTATTATAATTTAGTAAAATGTTTTATTACATGTCAATACAAACACGAGATGGCACTAAATTTGACTTGATATAGTACCTTTCTGAGAAAGTACCTTGGAAATAATTTTGTTCACCTCGTCTGTATATTGTTTTGATGTATTTTTCAATACAGTTCGAAGTGCGTCTACATCAGAGTAAAATGCAGAACGCGAGCATCCGTCTCGTCTCTGAGTCTACAATGTCCGAGGTGCAATGGATACTGCAAGAGGTTGCTGGGAATAATAACGAAATGTAAGTAATTTAAGAATTAAATTCGCTGCCCACTTAACTCGACAAGAATACCGTTAGAATCATCATTAACTTGCCGTTGCAGAGGGTCGGCACAGTATGTGCTCTTCAATCCACTCCTTTCTTAAGCATATCCTCTTTCACACAATCCATCCATACTTTCTTCGGTCTTCCTCTACCTTTGTAGCCATCCACATTCATTTAACACTTTCTGGTTCATGACCCCATCCTCTATAACATGTCCATACCACACTAACTTGCTTCTCAATTTCTCCACCACTGGTGCTATTTTCAAACTTCCTCTAAACACATTCTTAACTTTAAGAACATTGTTAATTCAAATCTTAGCATTTTCACATAGACCAGAGTTACTAGCTATAGGTGCAACTAAATTTTATGACTTGGTCAGCTCACGAGTCGCATAAAAAGTAGATCATATTATTTTAATGTTTGCATGCATAGAGGTTTTTTTTTAAAAAAAACATTCGTAGATTTTTGTTTAATTACTAACTAATATTATATATCCTTTAACCACTCCAACTAAGCTCTAGGCTTGTGCTAGGATATGGTTCACAACATAAGTCTAATGGCGGGATTCGAATCCTCGACCGCAAGATCGGTAGTCCGTACCCCAAACTATTAGGCAATTGGCGCTTCAATTGATTTAAAATATTATTTAAAAACATACTGTGATTGAGACATCTTACACCACAAAGTAGTGTGTGTTTACGCTTTATTATATTAGTAAAGAAGTATAGATTACTTTCAGCTCTGAGCTGCTAATTTATTTATTGAATTGTAGCTTAACGTTTCAAGGCTATGTGAATGTTTTTTGTAAT